CCTCCCAGCTGGGGGCTAAACACTGGCTCTGACAACAGGCTCATGTCACATTTCTGTTATCCAAAAAACCATTTTCCTTCCACAATCTTTTGCCCAACACATTTTATTGCCAATAGCAACAAAGCAGTATCTGTTCACACAAAATACAGGTACTGCTAAGCTGAAAAAAGCCTCCCAACCCCTCAGATCTCAGAGTAATTAGTATGTAGACATGGAAATTCTTAATAACATGTTAACTATTGTTGGAAAGATAATTTGTGGGAGTTCTCAAGTTCAATGGTTGGCATTGTTGAAAAGACAAAAAAGTTTAAAGCCTTTCTTTGCACACCATCCAATTTTTTATGCACTAAATCAGCTAGAAGTAGAACCAAACTAAAAAATTTCTGCCATTTTATGCACCATGGAAACAAGAAACCTGTCAATCTGCAATTACCTATTCTACATCCATTTGAGATCAATTTCTGCTGTGGGAGTACAGCCAACAGGTTCAGATCTACAACCTGTGTTTGTCATGGGAGATTGACATAGTTTATTTTTTGTTTCATTCTCAAATAAGTACAAATATTAAAACATAAATCAGATTGATGTCAGGGTGCATGTCAAGGTGCATTACAGTCTAATAAAGACTATAAACCTTTCTTCTCATGTAATTTCTTACAGCAATGTCAACAAGAGGATATAAAAATATTCAAAGCGTTCATCTATAAATTCCACTGTGATAAAACTGCACACTGATTTCCTAAGTAATCTCATATATTCAGATTTTCTTCTAAAGCTGAAATACTTCTTGCTTGAGCCCTATGAAAGATACTTATTTTTAACAGCTCATACTAATTTTGTATTTTTTCCTCATAAATTAAACACTGCCACTTTTTAAACTAGAGATAATTTGTCTGATGGACTACTTTAGCCTGAAGGTTTATTGTGTTTAATTCAGAGCTTTTGTACCTTTGAAATGCTGCTGCTCATTTGTGAAACTCTCAAAAATACATTTTAAAATCCTTAGTATAAGAAGTTCTTAAAAGAACTCACATGCTTCAGCATCATGTGCATCATCCCTTTCAGTGGGATTCCCCTAAGTCGTGCACAGCTTAAGTGCTTTTCTGTGTTGGGTTTGAAACTTTCATGTTAATTAAGAGTGCTTCAAGCAGAATTAATGGTTATGACTGCCTACAGTGCTCACAGCAGCTACAAGGCTCTCTCAGCTTTGACTCAAAGCATTTAAACAGAATGAGCAGTGATAGCACATTTTCAGTATCTCTAGCAATACAAAAGGCAGGCAAAGCCAGGTGAGGTGATGTGGACAGGAAGGTTTAGATCCTCCTTCCAGGCACGAGGAGATTGAGCAGGGCAGACAGGCGTAACTCTGCTTCTTTGAAAGAGGGGAGTAGTTAAATGTGTAACTAGCTCTCCCCGAATGTTACCTCCTGTATCTCTGATTTCACCAGTATGCCAGGCAGCAAACTGGGCCAGGCAAAGAGCAGACATGTATGTATGACTGAACACACTGTTACTGTATTCACATACTAAAATAGGAGTGAAAACTCTTTTCCAAGATCCACATGACAGCGTGTCTTCATCCATGGCACAAAGAGGTTTTGTGAGGCCTGATTACAAATTGCTAAGACAACTACTAATCATTTACCAGAGAAAACCATCCTTGCAGAACTGTTACTCTCCATAGGTCTTCACAGCAGAACCAAGCAACTTTCTGGGGACACCTCTTATCCACAACCAGGTATTTGGTTCCATACAGGTGTAAGTGGGTGAAGTAGCAGCTCAGATACTATTCAATATCATTCCCTTTGGATTAAAATTCATGACTTATTAATGGCATTTTAAGTATGCACTATCTGGCACAAAGAATATGGTCTTTGAAAAACTCTAATACCGATCAATTACATAACATTTCCATAATGATACAGGAACACTGAAGCGTTTTCTCCTTTATGTACTTTCATGTGATTTCTTAAATCCCAGATGGAGAATAATTTGTCTTCAGTCTAGTTGTACTTGAGGCACTACCAGTCTGACATTTTGCTTTCAGGTTCTAGCAACATCAGTACTGAGATCAGAAGTATTAAAACTTAGAAAATCTGACATGTTATGTCAAATTACAAAGACAGTATCTGAGAGCAAATGGAAGAACAGACAGACTGAAATAAGTAGCAGAAAAGGGGAAAGAAACCAAATTATAGGAGGGAAGATAGAGACAAATGTACAAAAGTGAAAGATTAAACAAATATTCTAGAGTGATCAGATGGGTGTGAAGAAAAAACATTAAACATTGTTGAAAGTACAAACGTAGGGATATAAATTCAGACATGAAACATGTAGCTACATACAGTATGGGCATGGTCCCATTAACACTTATGCACATACAAGATTCTATTTGCAACATTTGCATAAGCTGGAGGGTAATACTCATGTGAGTAACATGTACAAGAGGTAGCAGGATTTGGCCTCCCACTGTTTTTCTTTGTGTACATCATGTATCTCTGTAAAACATTTAAGCAGGCATTTCAACTTCGAAGAAGACTGAACTTGGAAATAATAGGACCTAAGGGAAACCTTTCCAGGAAAGCTGGTGGAATTACAGTTCTGCAAAGCACCAAGAGGAATACCCTAAGGACTAATTATTTGACAATACAACTAATGGTATTACTTTGAAGCATAATAAAGTTAAACCTGCAGCTTGCATAGATGTGGAGCACTTGCTGGAGAGAAGCACAATGGATGTGTGAATCCAGAATCAGGGAATCCTAATTAACCCTCTAACTGCTATCAGCAGGAAGGCTAATAGCAACTCTGAAGTGGTGTAAGTGACTTAATCCTAAGGGATTGCCTCTGTTAATGAGACACTGAGTGTTAGCTGTCCTCAGCCATGTTTACAGTAATGAGGCAATAAACAACTGGTTTGCCTAATAGCAGGCTGGGATTCTCCTGAGTGACAGAAGCTACTGTCCCAGTGACATGAGTTATTGTCCTCATCCTACAGATAAGAAACTAAAGTCCAGCATGTCACTTCCCATGATCCACTGGTCGGGCCAGAGATGGAGTTTATGGGTCAAGGTCGTTTAGGATGACACTACAATTCTCCTCTAGAAGATGACATCTAAAATTCTACTGGGAATAGTGTTTTATAGGATGTTAAAAAACATGAAGCATAAAAATCCCCAAGAGAGTCCGTCTTTAGTAATACAATAATTAAACTTCTTTAAAAGTATTCTCATTTTGAAACAACCAAAAAAAAGGCCTTAAAAGTCTTTAATCAAGCAATCAAAAATCCATGACCTTCCTTCTCCAAAAGTTTCTGGCTGTGGCTTGACAAAACAGCACAAAAGCTCAATATTATCCATATGGGTACCCAAAATATATGGAACCAGGCTTCCCAACACTACTTCCCTCATCTCAGATGGTTTGGCAGACTTCTAGGCTATTATCCTATCATTTCTGTCCACCTCTGCTACTGTGCCTCAGCTTCACTTGCACCACTAGAAAAATGCAAAAGATAGGCTTCCACAAGACTAAACAAAAATTAAAACCAATAAAAAAGAAAAAAAAAAAACACTTTAAGAGCAGTCCTCAAGGAAGCTACATGTCTTACTGTTTAATTTCTTCAAGATATCTATGTTGCAAGCGTAGCTAGAAGTACTTCTACAAAAATCCAATTAGTCATTTACCACCATCCACAGCAACCACTTAGACAAGACTTTCCTGCAGCATATATTGTTTCCGAAAAAATATTAAATAATCCATTGATTACATTATTTCAATTACAATGTCAGACTTCATAAACTATTGCAACACACACAAGTTTAGTTACAGAAAGGATGGATTTCAGAAGTCACAATCTTGTAGGCTTTACAGAAAATATGTTTTCCTTGAAATGATACTGAGATATCCTTGAAGAAGGAATTACCTCTAGCCTATAAAATAGAATTTCTGGCAACACTCCATAAAGCAGAACACAGTGGCCTCTAAAAATAAGCCATGGTGCTATCAGAAGCACAGATTACTTTTTTCTGGCAGAGAGAGCCCAATGCATCCAGAAACGATTGTGGGAGGCCACAATCAGCCAGCAACGGCTGCCCTGGCAGCCACCCCATGCCATGACAGGGGGGTCAGCCTTGTCACCATCCAGCCTGGGCATACCCTGTGTGGAGGCAGCACCACCGTAAGGCTGCCAGCACCAACAGGAGGCTGGTGGCACCCCCTGTGGCAGGGAGTGCTGCAGAGCAGCCCCTGCCCTGAGGCAGAGCCAGCAGTGTGACCGCCGTGAAGGGGATGGGCAGTCAGTGGGCGTATTTCTGTTTGTGTAAATATGCACGTATGTATATTTCATATACACACACCGATATACACACATCCATGCACAATGTGCACGAACAGCTTTGTGCACGTACATATCTAATATCACAGAATGAGCTGAGCAGGAAGGGATGACAAGGATCACTGAGTCCAACTCCTGGCCCTGCACAGAATCACACCAAGGGCCTGAGAGCACTGTCCCAACACTTCTTGAGCTCTGCCAGGCTGGTGCTGTGACCCCTTCCCTGGGGAGCTGTTCCAGTGCCCAACCACCCTCTGGGTATAGAACCTTCTCCTGATACACAACCTAAACCTGCCCTGGCACAGCTTCAGGCCTTTCCCTCGGGTCTTGTCACTGGGCACCAGAGGAAAGAGATCAGTGCCTTCCCCTCGGGAGGATGTCAAAGACTGCAATACACACGCACACACGCACACACAAACGCACGTGTGTCTGTGTGTGTGTGTGTGTGTGTATGTATGTATGTATGTATGTATGCACTTCAGTATGTATAAATGTGTGTCTGTGTCCCCCGGTGCGTGCCCGTGTGCCTCTGCCCCGGCCAAGGCTGCCCGCGCCGCCGCCGCCCCTCCCGTCGCCCGAGGCCTGCGGCGGGCGGGCCTCCCTCGGTGGCGCCCGGCCCCCGGCCCGTCCGCACGCCGCGCCAGAGCGAGGGGAGCCCCGGCCTTACCCTCGCCCTTCTCCTCGCTCTCCGCCATGGCCGCAGCGCCGCGCTGTCGCCATGGCGACGCGGGCCTGCTCGGGCCCTATCCTCACAGCGCCGGGGGTCGGGCGTCGCTCCCCGCCGGGCTCGGGATATCCGAGCCCCTGGTACGGCCCCACTGCACCCCTCCGCCCTTCCAGGCAGCCATCGAGTGAACCCCTTCAACCTGCCTCTGCAAAGGACTCAGTGTCTCTTAAAAATGCAGCTTTCCCCAGCAATTGCGGAGATTTACATGTGTCTGAGCTTTAGAAAGTGAAAGAACATTTTATTCTAAATGCCATCACGCCAAAACAGCTAAAATATTCTGTCTTAGTGATATTAAATAAAACTGTGCAGTTTAAATTTAGCTGTAAGTTTTAGCAGACAGGCTTGCGATGCCTGGGTCTTCTGACTCTAAAACAACTGTGAAAGTAGAAAAAAAATACAAATATTAATATTCTGGCAAGATGCAACCATATATTCCTAGAAAATAAATATTTATGAAATTCCTAGAGCTAAAACCTTGTCCTCACTACAGCAGGTGCTTGTTTGTCAGATGTTCAGTTTTGCAAAGCCTGCGTGGATGACTCCTCACACACTCAATTCCACCTCTCAAACAAACAGTTAATGATGTTCTCAGTATTCATGGAAGCCTGAAATTTAAAAAAAAACGTGGAGCACAAACAGAGCTTCTTTGATTTAAAAAAAAAAAAATTCCTTTTTTAGAACATTTTAACATTTGCTATTTGTCTTTCAGCCACTTATTTTTGCTTTTTTTATTGAACATGGCTCAGAGTAAAGAGGTTATAATAGATACCCAAGAGAATACATCTTTATTCTATTGGGAAAACAGCTGATTATGCTCTCTAACAAAGCTGATCCCTCTGAAAGGTTATCTACTGACTTGAGCAGTTTATTAAAGTAACTAAATATTTCAAACTACATGTTTGACTACAGGAGTACAGATTTGTTTCCTTTCAAATTGCTAACAGAAATTTTGGTGAGAATAGCATGGCAGATGAATTTAGAGGATGCAGCAGCAGAAGAAAAAACCTTTATCTTTCAGTCTTACAGGGGTCATATTTCTGATTCCCTTGACCCCTCCACACAGAAAACTTGTCTTTCCTGATTGAGGTCTATGGTAGTGGGTCAGTCACGTGTTTGAAGTGGGAGAAAAGTACAAAATACATTATTTTGGCAAGGATGCACCTCTCTTACCACTTCTCTCCCCTACCCCAAATGTAGAATTTAATGTTTTTGAATACTGTGCCCAGCATTAGATTTCTTATATAATTTTCCACATCATTCATCATAGGACACATAGCTCTTCTACAAATGCTACACTAATTCAAAATATTTACTACATATTCCTAAAAAAACTTAATAAAATCCTGTTCTAGTAATTGCGTTTTCATGACAAATCCATGCCCAAAATATTAACAGCTCCTAGTTTTAAAATAAATACAAGTGTTGCATATTATGCATATTTATTTGAGATCATTGCATGTTCATAGTAGATTTTGAAAGGAAGTGAGTCACTGCAACTGTGATGTGGTAAGACAATTAACTCCACTTGGGCATCCTCCTCTAACATCTTCCCATCAATTTCTCCAGGACTTGCACTTGGCTTTCCTCATTGACAGGCACTAATCTTTGTGTCCTCCAAGAGAGATGTTAAAAAAAGCAGTGTGTAAATGCTGATGAAGGAAGGGGAAATCGTGAAGTGTACCACAGCTATGAGATGTCATTTACACCACAACATCTACGTGCTGTAGTAGCTGCTGGCTCTGACCCTCATGAGCTGCTAGAACAGCTCCTTGGGCAAAGTGTTGTTGTGAGTATATAAAGGCCTTGCTCAAATCCTGGATGTTTGTATCAAACTTGTTGTGTTTGATAACTTTAGCCTAGCTACAGAATCTTCACTGACTCAGAGTTCATACAGAGTTCAGCAAACAGCATTTTGCACTGTCCTGCCTGTGCTGTTGAGATTCCACTCGGGACAATTGCTGTAAATCAAAGTGCTTCATTTGCATTGTCCACTCTAGCCTGGAGTTTCCTTTTGCTTCAGTAGCTTGCAGCCAAGTGTCCTTATTCTCCCAATTCCTAACACATCAGGCTTTGGAGTCTTGCCTGTCTCCAGGAGCAGAACAAAATACTGAATGAGAAAGCATTTCAAAATGAGAACTCACTGCTTTAAAATTTCCTGGCAATGTATCTTGAAAAATCTATGTAGGGGAAAAAAATGTTAACAATTATCATGCAGATCAAATACCTGATATATGGACCTGAACCACATAGCTGCTTCCCTTTTAACTTAATGCACAGATACCTCAAACCAAGGGTATGAGTGGGCTGAAACAACTAATCACATTTTGGCACAGACAAGTACAAAAGGAAACCCAGAACTACTAATTCAACAGCTTGAAATATCAGCTGCTGCATGCAAGATCTTTACAGAGCTCCTCTGAAGAGAGCATACCCTTTTAAAATTGTGATTTTTCATTTTAAAAATGTCAGAAGATATCTCAGGAAAATTATAAAAGAATCCAGCATCATTGATATAAAGCGTGAATCCACTGAAGTCTCATAGACATAAGGTTCCCTTACCTCCACTCCTAATTTCATCACATACATTCCTCTCAGCTATCAGGGTCCTATCACACATTTTGCATATTCTCCGTGCATATGTTCAGAAATGTTATTCAGCAATAAAAACAGGTCTAAACTGGGAGAAGTGATGTAAAAGAGAGAAGTTCAAGGAGATATAATAACATCCTACAAAGCTGTGTCCCCCCATGGCTTCGGGACTGCAAGCATCTCAACACATCTGTGCTCCAAACATTTGCCAAAGACCTTCACTATAGGACTCTCTCTGTGGGTCCTTGGGGACCATATAATTGAAGGCACAAAGAAGCCTATTCATTTGTCCTTCACAGAGAAAGTAGGTGGATAACTATGATTTTGTGGCAGGGCTCGTACCTATAGCTCCTCTGCAGCAAAATGGGTACAGCTGTGCTGTTTAGCAGGCATTTCCATGTCACTGTACCCTTTTTTACCAGTGTGACATGAATGACCCAAGTGTACCTTCATTCCATTCTTCCTCTGGGATCAGCAGCTGATTTCAGTGACTCAGAAACAGACTCTTCACAACAGAGTATTATCTAAACATTAGCTGTTCACCAAATGTTACACAGTAACCAGATAAAAATGAGAAAAAGACTCTGTCTTTCCTTGCCTATACTGTATCTTTCCTAATATCTTTACAGAATTTAGGTAAATTACACTTGAGAGCAGCTACCTCTTTCCTTCATGTGTAGGAGGGGAAGACAGCTTCTCCTCTGGCTTGTTCTCTTTGTAACTGCAGGCTTTGATCCTATGCTTGGAGTAGATGAAGAGAAGCCTAACAGAGTGGGCAGAGACAGACATACAGGCATGCCCTCCATTATTTCCTCTACCACTGACCTCTTCCAGGCTGCTGGTATATTTGGATTAACCTTACCTGTCATCATTTTGCTTTCTTTCAAAAAAATAATTCTTCCTGTTCTCACCTACAGAACAGCAAAAAGTACATAAATTATACATAAAAGTGCATAAATTGGCTTAATTTTTTAATATAAATAATAAACCTAGAAGCCCAAAATCTGACCTCTTAAATAAAATGTCAGCGTATGATTCCTTCACACATATGGAGTTCACCAGTGCTGAAAGGAGAAGATCCAAGTCTTCTCCTTCCTTCCTTCCTTCCTTCCCTCCTGCTGGGTGCATATCTTCCTTCTACCTTGTGCAGCTCTGCCATTCACTGAGAGCAAATATGAGTCAGAGAGGTAGTAAAAATACAATCCATCAAAAAGTGAATAGTGTTCTGCCCTATTAAGAAACTCAGAAAAGGATCTGACAAGCATTTCAATCAGCACATCCAGGAAGTTGGACCCTGCAATTAGAAGAGAGGAAGAAGTAGAGGGGAAGGCAGGAAGGGTGAGATGTTCTTTTGGATGGAAAAAGCTCAGTGGCTGTCTGAGTCCATAAGTAAAACACTGAAGGAAGAAAGGGGGAAAATCAAGTTTGAAGGCTGCTGATGATAGCAGCATCTCAAACCCTTCTCAGTCCATGGGATGGCTTTGGAACTGTCCTGGCAAATATCTCTTACTGCTCACGTACAGCTACTATCCTATGGATCTTTAGCTCCTCCTGTCCAGCTTCAACAAAGCTGCATTTGAGGAAAAGTGACGGAACATACAATAAAAATGAGTTGCTAGAAAAAAGGAAGCATTTCTTTACTGCAGCAATATTCTTCAATGTCAAGGAGCTGCTGGCAGTTCTCAGCCTCTGGGACTATGCCTAAAGAGCTGCACCAGAAAAAAGCTCTTTCTTTTATGTGTAAGTGCCAGGATACTGTTCCCCATCCCACCCAGGCACAGAAATGGCCCTAGAGATCCATATATTTTAACCTTCCGACTTTATTACCATTAATTATATCTGGAAGTGAAGCCAGGATCCCCAAGAACACGGCAGCAGGAACAAAACACAATCATCCATCTGCCTAGCAACATGGGTTGCCATGAGTACTTCTCCCCGTGCTCCACAGGCAGCAGGGGCTCGCCACTAAAAGCTAAGCCAAGCTCAAGAGCCCCTTGAAAAAGGGCAAAGAGAGTCTGCTTCCTCAGATGAAGACATTCCATCTCCAAGACCTTCCTCTGGAGCCTAGAATGTGTCAGCCAGCAGCCTGAAATTTGGAAATGAGGGATTTCTGGAGTACTGAAAAAAATTCCAGTGGAATTGCTCTCACACGAAGCAAAAGCAATGACGTTGGGAACATCAGTGCTGTTAAAACTCCATTCTTCCCTTCTCTGTTCTTTCTCTATTCTTTTGAGAAAGTTCTTCCCATGTTTTAATACCATGCCAAAAAAATCCCCAATAACATACTATCAAATCACTGACTTTTCACACTTACGAAGAAAAGAAGAGAAACCTGTGAGTGGTACTGAAGACATGGAATTACTTTATAACATGCCTAGCTCAGCAGATCTTTGAATCACAAACCATTTGTAGGAGGCTCAGAGTATTTAAGAAATTAT